AGAACTTTAATCTCTGTAACACCAAAACAAAACAATTTTTTCCACTACTTCAAATGAATATACAATGGGATCTAAATATCAACACTTACAACTGGGCTGCAACTCATATAAAACCAGGTCTTCTTCTTCACCACCAAAATCATGTGGTTGATCATTCTCAACATGTGTAACAATACATGTTTGTAAATCCATAATCACCAAATACCCTATGTACTCCACAAAAATTCAAAAAATGTATAACACAAAAATTGTAACAATTCAAGAAAAGCAGTAAAAGTGATAAGAACACGGAGAAGGGTTGGTTAGGGAAGGCCGGTGACGGAGCAAGGGTGGGGGGGGAGGGGGGAAGCAATGGATTGAGGGGGGTACCTGAGGGTGGGTGCGGCGGTGGTGGTGGCTGGTCGGCCGCGAAGGAAGAGGCTGGGTCGCCACTCCAATTTGCAATTTGTGTGTCCGATCGATGAAGAATCGATCTGATCTGCAATTTGCAATTTTCAATTTATGGATATCTAAATTTGATATGAAGAGGAAGATAAGAAAAAAAAGATATTACCTTCCTTGTATGAAGGAGAACGCAGAAGGGAGAGGAGGTCGTGCGCGGCTGACTGGCGTAGAAGAGCAGAGCCGGAGGGAGGAATGAAAAAAAAAAAGAAAAAGTAAAAAAAACATCTTAAATAGGGAGGCAGCAATGGAGGCAGGGGTGGGTGCACTGTAGCACGGTCCATACTACAAATCCGCACAAACTAGCATCGCTATGATTGGACCATTGGATTTTTATCGCATGTTTCTACTCATCAACAACATTTGATATTCTGACTAAGACCTCTGGCATCTCTGCTCTATTTTTTATACTCTATAAAATTTCTTAGTTTTGCATAAAGTTTCCCTTTTCCCTAGCTAGTGATGATGTATATGATGACCATTAACAATGGCAAGTAAATAAATGGAATGCCACACAGTGAGGTGAAACATTTCAATTGTAACACTCTAATCCGTTCAGGTCTGCAGCTCTTTTCGGACTAAAGTATTAAATTGGTCACGTAAAAATTTTAAACATTAAAAATATTTTCAAACTTTATTTCATAATAATTTATTCAGAATAGTAACGAAGTATTTACAATTTGCGGAAGCTTTAACAATCACAATTACAAAACATGAGTAATTTATGTCTTTAGAACTAATAATTTAAAACCAACAAATCCATCCTGACCATCTCACCCCATCTACTGCCAGGAATATGTAACTTCATTCTTTCTGTTTTCATGCGTGTAGCAAATAAAACATTCTACACGCACGGTGATGAAGTTAAGTAAGGATGTCTAATGCATCGGACATCCATATTAATTGAATCTCAATTCATAATCAAATCATTTGATATCATGCACATAACATTCAATTCATTTGGAAGTTTTGAGAAAATTCCGGCGAAATGTCCGGCGAGGATTGTGGCTTACTCCGGCAACCTCTCACCAAATTGATAACACCATTGCACTTTTCTCTCAACAAGGAACACTTACGAAGAAGAATGAGGAAGAATAGTGAAGGTTGAGTTTAGAGGGTGTTCTTATATAGTGAGGTAAAGAAGAAGAAGACACAGGATGTTGACTCCTCCGTGATTCTACGATCGGCTAGTGCGTTGGAAGGCGTCGTTTGCATAGTTTTCTTGATTGGAACTAATTTGGCCTAGTCGGAGTATATTTTTTGGTCCAACTTTTTCTGAATTAAAATCCGATTGTATTGTTGTGACCAATCTGGCAAACTCTACACAACGATATAATTTTCATTTTTTTTGACAAACTTCATAAATTACTTATTTTTGGGTCCTTTTGAGTAAATAATTAACTATCAATTAATTAATTCTGATAGGCCTATTTTTGGGACGTAACATCAAGCAATCAAAAGGAGTTCAATCGGCATGTAGCAAAAGAATAGAGTGACATGCCGTGCAGTGACAAATAATTTTCTTGTTATTCTTTTACACTTTTTCTTACATATTTTAATCATTAAAAATTATTTTAATTACTTTTTTCAAAAAAATCGAGGTGCTCTTTTTTTTAAGTAAGCATTTTTTTGTACAAAAAAAATTTAAAAAAAATTTGAGACAAATGTCTCGACGATAGAACGGGATGCAGAGTAGAATGGAGAAGCCCTACGAGGAAACTTGGGTTGGGAGTTTACGTGGCAAGGCATGGTAAGCATTTGCCTCTCCATTACCATTGCTCTAAGAACATTAGCAATGGCAAGGCAATAATGAAATGTCACACGGTGATATGGATTATTTCAACCAATATAACTCAGTCACCGTGTGGCAATTGAGTGGAGTGTCGTTTTTGTCTATTTTTGTACTTTTTAATGATTTTTAATTATCAAAAATTATTTTACACTGTTAAATATATTTACCATATATATTTATGTTAAGTATATTTAATGTATTTATTATTGTATCATTGTATTATTGGTAGTTACCTTTTGTATAGGTTTCCTACTCGTATTAGGAGTCCCGTCCTGTCTATATATACGGTTGTACTCCTACACGTTTAATCATCGAAAATATTCATTCTTCATGGTATCGGAGCCAAAAATCCTGATTTCCAAACCCTAATTCTCTCCCGGCTCTCTCCCTCGGCGCTGCTCTCTCCCTCTCTCGGCCTTACTGCCGCAGCAGCCCCACTCTCCTCCTCCGTCGTCTCTCTCTCTCTCCTCATGGACTCCGACAAGACGACGGACAAATCTCCCTCCACCACCTCCTCAAATTCTCCCCACTTGGCGTTCACGGCTATATCTAACGTCAAGCTTCACGTTCCCATACAGTTGAGTTTTTCTCAACCTAATTACAAAAAATGGAGCCGTCTTTTCTTGCTCCTTGTTCGACGGTTTAATCTCCACGGGTTTCTCTCCGGCTCTAAGATCCCTTCTTCCGCCGACGACGACGAATGGTTTCAACTTGATGCCGTGCTTCAAGGNCATGGACTCCGACAAGACGACGGACAAATCTCCCTCCACCACCTCCTCAAATTCTCCCCACTTGGCGTTCACGGCTATATCTAACGTCAAGCTTCACGTTCCCATACAGTTGAGTTTTTCTCAACCTAATTACAAAAAATGGAGCCGTCTTTTCTTGCTCCTTGTTCGACGGTTTAATCTCCACGGGTTTCTCTCCGGCTCTAAGATCCCTTCTTCCGCCGACGACGACGAATGGTTTCAACTTGATGCCGTGCTTCAAGGGTGGATTCTCTCCACGGTGACCGATGAGGTCTCCGACTTGGTCATCTCCTCCACTTCAACGGCCTCCGAACTTTGGCACATGATTCATGCTCTCTTCCACGACAACAAACCGGCTCGAGCTATGCAATTGGAACACCAATTCCGCGCTACGGTCAAAGGAACTATGTCCATGGCCACATATTGTCAAACTCTCCGGAACATCGTTGATTGGCTAGATGACGTCGACGCCCCGGTCTCCGAATCACAGCTGGTGCTCCAACTTTTACGGGGTTTACCGGATGATCTCCAAGCCCAAACATCTTGGATGCAATTTCAACAGCCCCAACCCACTTTTCTCCAAGTCCGATCGGCGTTATTGCTCCTTGAACGTCAACGCTCCCACTCGATTGAGACTGGGACAGCCCTCGTCACCGGCCGGACCGGCGGCCAGCCGGGTCCGAACCAGCAGATCTATTTTATTATTAAAATATGTCTACTTCTTTTTAAAAAATTCCAAAATTAACAATATTTAAAATATTAAAAAAATAAAAAATGAGAGAGTTATGTCTTGCATATATAGAATGAAAAGTGGGATAGAATGATCATGAAATGACATGATTTGAGTAGTAGTTGCTTACATGGTTAGGCAAGTCTTGCCATTGTGAATGCTCTAATAAATCGATCGATAATGAACCATCAACAATAATGGATATGACTCGACCATGCAGGTATTTTGTGATGACATAATAGGTCCTCGTATGGTTGGAAGTCTAAATTTTTCTTGAGCTAACTAAATAGTAAATACATTGATATCCATTGTTATCTACTTTGTTTAGGATAAATATATGTTGCGTCATTATTGGGTGGGGAAGTTTATGGTAAATGGTTCGTCGGAGTTCACTTTTTGCATTTTTAAAACACAACTTCGGGGCTGTTTGTTTCAGCCTCTTAATGGTTCAGATGTCTGAATGGTTCAGCACTTAATGGTTCAGTCTGTTTGTTTCAGCCTCTTAATGGTTCAAATGTCTGAATGGTTAAGAGATTTGCCTCTGAATGGTTAAGTATTATACAGAGTCTGAATGGTTAAGACCTCTTATCTGAATTGATCAGACATTTGCCTCTAAATAGTTAAGCAATATACTAGCTTTTAATGGTTCAGACCTCTTACTGGTTCAGCACTTAATGGTTCAGACCTCTTACTGGTTCAGCACTTACCCATTCAGAAGTTGCCAAACAGCCCCTTCCTGTGTGTATAAATTACTGCAAAAAAGTTTATCTTTTGAGGATTTTTTATCAAAATCTATGTCCATGCAAGTTATTTTGTGTCGAGAATATTTACTAAGAAACCCTGAAATATACTCTAAATAGCAAATTTCTAATGAATTGTAATTTTGATTTATGCCTGGATTAAATAAGAGTTGAAATGAAAGTACTAAAAATAAATTATTCTCAAAATAATCTATTTATTCATAAAATTATACTCAAATTATAAATCTCGTTGAGACGAGTTCAATGATATGTTCTGTGTGAGACTAAGTTATTGATGGTGTTGATTATTTTGACCATTTAAGCGAGTATAACAATTACAACAAATACAAAGAAGCTATTTTTAAGGAAGAATTCTCTCGATAAGAGTATTTTCAAACGAAAATAAGAACTCACAATACTATTGTTACACTGTCACACTCACTGCATTATCACATTATTAGTTACAACTGCCACGCCATCATTGGGACATTGTCATCTATCATCGTCAACCACCAGAGTACAATCGTTTATCACCGATAATTGACTATCACATTGTCATATCATCACTTTTTTATCACACTACCAACGCGTACTTTTACATCAAATTACCATTATATTCTTATTTTAGTTTTAAAAGAGTTAAGACTCTGGTTTTATATTACTCTTATCTAGAGAGATTTCTTTATTCTTAATGTGGAAATAAAATGATTTTAAAAGAGATAATCTTTTACACGTGCTTAGAAATATTACAAATAACTAGTGCATCACCCGTGCGATGCACGGGAATATATAAATCAAATCAAGATGATTACAAATGATTTAAATTTGATATGTAACATTGTTCAAAGCAATTAGTTTTAAATGATATAATATCTTAAAGTATAGATAGTAGTAAATTTGATATGTAACATTGTTCAACATAAAAAAAAATGTACGTATGTATGCTCATACAATTATAAATATTATTACATCTTTCATTTCAAACAATACAAACAATAAAATAGCATACTACATATATTATATTACCAATGATATGCGGGCCAATCAAGGATGTCTTTTTTTTGCTAAATAAACACATAATTTATCAAAAAAATTGTAAGAAATATATCTTTCAAGATACAATGTGACTTTTACGTCAACAAATACTCCCTTCGTCTCACAATATAGATGCCCTTGTATTTAAATTCACAATAACCTATATTTAGTTGTAATTTTTTATTAGTTATTTGATAAAATAAAATATTATTATGAACTTTGTTTTGTAAAACTTTGACGTACTTTTTATACATGTAAGTCATACTTTAATTTTTATTTTATACCAATTCTTAAATAAAATAAACTAAAAAAGCATGGAATATTTTTTTTTAATTTATTAAGGAGACACCATTTGATACTATTAAAAAGACAACGTTCGATAATCCGTACACTAAAGAGAATGTCACTCAACTATTCATTTTGTCAAAAAAGGTCATTGTCTTTTATTTTTTTTCAAAAATGTCATCGAACACTTAAAACATTCGAAAGTGTCAATTAAATACCCCGGAGTATTATATTTTGTCAAAAGTGCCACTATCTTTTTTTCTTCTAGTAATGCCATTAATTTCTAATTTTTTCAAAAATACCACTAAAAGTTTTGTTTTTTGAATTTCTCCGAAAATAATCAATTTAGTTTTTTTTTTCCTATGAAGAGTGTGATGTTGGTATTTGTTTACATAAAAGAAAGCTTTTCAAGTCACATGTTAATTTATTAGAAAGATAACAAATAAAGTAAGATATATTTTGGTAATGTATGTTAAAAATGCTAGAATTTTTTTGAAATGAAAGTAATATTTTTATTAATGAAAAGTGACAAAATATCACATGCTCCCTCTGTTTCAAATTAATCTTATTGCTTTCTTATTTCGAATGTCTAAAAGAAGCTTTATGTTTGACTTGTTTTTTAATCTTTTAGAAAACATTTTGTGACTCGCTATATATTTCTCTCATCTACATCACTTTCAACTACTTAAATTTATTTTTTAAAAATGTATCTCAAATCTAATCAAGATCATAAATTGGAACACTCGGAGTATTACAAAAGTGTAGGAAAAATTTAGAAAATGTATAAATTTAAAGAAAAGGAACAAAAAAATTGCCCATTGAAGATGATGGAAACCGCTTTTTCGGGGCGTCGACCCGATGAAATCGATACCGGGTCGGCACCGCACCGAATAGCGAAATCCAGAAATTAAGTAAATAAATAAAGCGGAGAGAAAATATTTATACGTGAAAACCCAAATCGGGAGAAAACCACGGGCCTTTTTAGGCGGTGCCATGCCGAAGGGGGGGAAACTTTTATTAATCTCGGGGGAGTTTACATATACATCATTGTAGGAACTTGGAGTCATTAATAGAGCTCCAAGTTAAAAGAAGAAGAAGAATGAAGAATATAGTAGTAGGAACTTGTAGGAATCTAGCCTTGGCCTCCCCCCTTCCGTCCTGCGTAGCCTTGTATTTAAAGGGGAGTACATGCATGCATCCCCAACAATGCCATGAGGTGGCCATGTCACCTTCTTGTGCACATGTTTTGTATATGGGCTTCACGGAATATTTTTATATCACCTCAAATATATTCTTCTGTCCATATACTTCTAGTTCTGTCTTGAATAATTTATCTGATTTATATCTTGGCCAGATAAAATTGGGCTTTCTTGCACTGTTCAAATAATATTGGATTAGGAAAAATCCCTAATCCATCAGAAGAGCATTCTGAATATTTAAAAATATTTGAGTGATATTTTGGAACATTTTAGAAAATTAAAAGACATTATTGAAAGAAAAAATCGAGAGTGATATTTTGAAAAAATATAATACCTAATTGACTTTTTTTGAATATTTCAGAGACTTCGATTGAATTATTGAAAGAAAATAAAAGACGACATTTTTTGACAAAAACATATAATTTGGTGTCATTTTCACTCTTTGATAATCAAATAAATAAATACTCTGTATTACTTTATATACATTGTATTAAATTACTAATTAAATTTTAAATGACTAAATTAGATATGTATAGTAAGATGTTATTTGTAAATTATTACTCTCTTTGTTTCTTAAAACAATTCATATTTACCATTCAAGGCATCACAATAACTTTTGTTTGTTTGTGTTTTTTAATTAGTCATTTGACAAAATAAAATATTCTTATCAACACTTATTTTGTTAATAAAATTGTGTAAAGAAAGATGAGATTTTGCACGTAAAAATGAAATATGAATTGTTTTAAGAAACAGAGGGAATATAATTTATTACTTCCTTCGTCCTTAAATATATATCACATTTCTATTACTGAGGTAAAATATCAAGTTTTTTCATTTCATTTTATTTACATATTGGTATAGAAATAAAAAAATTTACATTTCCAAAAACTATATGAAAAGTTCTTCGAAATAAGAGGTGCCAAGAATATTTTATTTCATCAAATAACCAATGAAAATGTAAAAATAAACAAAAGTTTTCGTTACTGCTGAAAAGGCAAATGTGAGATGTATTTTGGGACGGAGGGAGTAATATAAAATGTACTCCGTACTATTCTCTCCGTCCCAAAATATTTCTCACACTTACTTTTTCAGCAGTCGCAGTAACTTTTGTGTATTTCTATGTTTTCATTGGTTATTTGATAAAATAAAATATTTTTGGAACCTCTTATTTCGAAGAACCTTTCATATAGTTTTTTGATATGTAAATTTTATTTTTTATTTTTATACCAAAATGTAAATAAAATAAATTGAAAAAACTTAATATTTTACCTCAGTAATAGAAATTTGAGAAATATTTAGGAATAATAATATTTACTCCCGTATTTGATTAGTGATAAAATGAATCAAAACCAATGCAGCCAGTTTTGTCCAAGCCCAAAACCCATTAAAACTATCCGCCTACTCCTCCATCTCATCTCCCTTCCATTCTCTCGGTTGTTCTTCATTATTCTTTATCCTTTCATTCTTTCTTTTTCATTCTTCTTCAATTCATATCCTATCTTCGTCGCCGTCATTTGCAGATCCTTTGATTACCATGGATAGAAGGTTTGCTTATTTCTTATAATTAAACATCTTTTTCCTTTATTTTATATACTCAGTAATACATTTGACGTTTTTTTTTCAAAAATTGTTTGTAAGAAATTGTATTTTCCAGATTTTAAAGTATATTCACTATCCAGATGACATCTATTTAATTTTTAATGGGGTTTTTGGTAGTATTAATTTTGAAATGTTTATGATTTGCTCTAACCTTCGCTTCTTTTTGGAAATTTTAAAAATAATTTCAGATTTATCTTAAAATTATTTTCTAAAAATTAAAATTTTAAGACCTTATGTTATATTCCGATCCGTATAATATTCATACATTGACTGTGGGATGTTATTAAGACTACTATATTTAGAAATAAACTTTTTTTTGTTGTTAGCCACTTTCATTTCTTTTAAAACTATAGGGCTAGTCTACAGGGAAGATTCAGGGATTTAGGCTAAGAAAGTAAGGTTTAGGGGTGTGTAGTGTGTAAGAGTGGAAGGGTATACTCCGTATATAGCTGGAATCCAATGCTATATAATACATGGGGAGTTTCCAGGCTGGAACTGACTGATTTGGTCTCTACCACTTGTAATTGTCATGTGCTATAGGGACCAATAAGTTCCATTCTTTGTCTTGTAATTAAGTGATTTCAACATATTTTTGCAGCAATGGTATACTTTGGGTATGAAGCTGGATTGACTTGTAGACTTTAGAGGCTATGATGATAGACTTTAGAGGCCATGGCTTTATCATAACCTTTTTCTTAGAATGATTATCTAAATAGTGAATATCTGAGCATCTTTATATTAGCTTCAAATGGTAATTTTCCTGGCAAGACAGTATCCTCTAATTCTGCCCTTATAAAGACAGTTATAGTTGGTCCACTTAATTGATTTCATCCTCTTTATAAGGCAATGGTATACTTTGTAAAATTCTGCCCTTAAGATGGTATACTTTGTAAAATTATGAGGCTGTGATGATTTATTTTATATGTTTTACCACATTTTGTTTTTTGAAATTAAGGAAATAAAATGTATCTTGGCATGGCTACGGCCTAGCTAAAGGCAGCCATGGCTTTATCATAAACTTTTTCCTTGTAATGAGTATATAAATAGTGAAAATCCGAGCCTCTTTATAATACCTCATTTGAAATGGGCACAGTGCCAGTTTCATTCTGGCGTGATGTTATGAAATCGGTACAGTGGCAGCTACTTTGTTAGTACATTTGCGAACTACTTTGCTTGGTTTTATAGAGTGGATGAGATGCCATGTACTGAAAATTCTACTGCGGGTATATTTTTGTTTTGTCCAGAAGTGATTGTATATATTTCTGGAGTGATTTTTAATGTGTAGATGCCATGTGTCCCCAAGTATTATTAGACATTGGATTAGGATAAGTTTCAAAGTAAACAATTTTTGTTTATGAGGCTCTTTTTATTACCTGATTTGAAATGGTTAGACGATACGGTTTGGCCTTGGGCCATTAAGCTCATGGTCAGTATCCCCATCTAACCAAATATACCTCATTTTAGATTTCAAAGTAACAATTTGGGGGTATGAGCCTCTTTATAATACCTCATTTGAAATGGTTAGAGGATACTGTCTTGCCTTAGACCACAAAGCTGATGGTGAGTTAGTTTGAACCATGCATTTTCCTGCACTTATACAGACTGCTCCAATTCTGAAAATGATACCTGGATTTTGTCTATTTATGATGGTACATTTCTCTGGGTTGTCCGTGAAGCTGGAATAATTTGAACAATAAAGAGGCTGTGATAATTGCTTTTATATGTTTTCTTTTATTTTGATTACTTAAATTAAGGAAGTAATACGTTACTTGGCGTGGTTATTTGCCCAGCCAGGAGCAGCCATGGCGTTATTATTCTATTTCCTTGTAATGAATATATATATATATATATAGTGAATATCTGAGCCTCTTTGCAGTAGCTATGGAATGGGCATTATACTGGAATTACGTATTGCTCTTTTCTGCTTTTGAAATGGCCTTTGAAATGGCGTATCATGAGATGGGCGAGGAACAGCTCAAGTGAAAATTCTAAAGATTCAAAGAAATGAAATTGGGGGAGTGGCTGATTCATTGGCGTGATGATATGAAATTGGGGCAGTGGCAATACTGGGGCAGTGGCAGTATCACAGGCGTGATGTGAAATTGGGGCAGTGGCAGTTGATTTTTTAGTACATTTTTGAAATCAGAAAATTACTATTAGGTACCTTAGATTTTGTGGTAAAGACTGTAAGATCCCAAATTATTAAAAATTACTCAGGGGTACATTAAAATTAGATGTTTAGGACTGAGAGGGTCGTTCCCATCTAACTCTCCGTTAGGAACCAAACTGCCGTTTTCTCTAATAAATAAACCTTTGCAATTCCCATTATAACCCCCACTATTCTCCTTCAAATTAAATTCCATTTTCCGTTGTGTTAGTACAAAACTTTCAAAGAAACATGATGCTCATATAACACACGTTGTAGTGTAGTTTGCAGTTAATAATCTTCTGTTCCATGAGGCCTATGTTCCCATGCCTCCTGTATACTGAAGTGATGAATTTTTGGCAATATCCAGGTGCAAGCTCTTGTTGGGTTTGAAAAGACGAGTAAACACCTTGATGATCATCTCGTGGACATTAGCTCAAAGGTTAGATGTCTCTGGCTCTCAAAGGTTTATCAAACTGAGCAGTGGGAGTAAATAACTGTGAAAAGTTGACTGACAAATATCTGTCTGGTTGTGTTTAGGGGATCACCAAGCCAAAAGAGGTCAAAAAGTACAAGGGGGAAGGCATGCCACTTCATTTTAGCAACAAGAAGGGTGATCTATATGTCACTTTTGAGGTTCTCTTCCCCAAATCATTGACGCCGGACCAGAAGACTAAAATCAAGGACATTCTCGGTTAGGAGCATGCCCACATCAATTCCTTTTTCTCCCCTTTCATTTTTGTGTTTGTCGAAAGCCCCGCCTAAACGAATCTCCTCCACCGTGGAAGAAAACAGCCGCAGCATAATTTGGTCCGAATTCCATTTCTACTAGTCAGAAGTCCATCAATTTTCGTGGCTCTCGTCATTATATACATTGTTTTACATTTTTTTTTTGTCAGAACAAATATTAACTAGCCAGGATAGAGACGGGTTTCTTGCCCGCATAAGTGTTATGACGTGAGGGTCCTTTGATGCTTACTACTACATCTTGTACCAAAAGCATAATTGTTATTTGTTCATTAATGTAGAAGAATTGCTGGCGTTTGTATATTTCCAATCCATATAAAATAATTATGCGACGGAGCATTATTTGAAACAGACATCAATTTTTTATGTAGGAGCATTTTTTGGACGCCCTTGCTCAAGACCAAAAACAAACATCAATTTTTTTATAAGAAAACAAATGTGCATGGTAGGCACGTGTTAAGAGGCTAAATATTATTTCCTTCGTCTCAATTTATTTGTCCAGTTTAATTTTTTTGAGTAATGAACTTTGAATTTTAATTAAACAAAAATTGTAATGTATATAAATATTAAAATGATTTTATTAGATTTATCTTGATGAGAACTTTTAAAATTTATCTTATTGTACTAAAGATGGTTATAATGGGAAATAAAAAATGTAGTTTTAACATGGGCATATCAACGCCACAACAAAAGTTAAAACTTACAATTCGAAATTTGTTTACCTTTTCTAGCCGCTATCTTGCACTCCATAAAGGCTTTGCTTTTCAATTTGCAGCCTGGAAATCTTCTAAGGCAAAAGAAGCTGAGAATGTGAGGGAAGTAGCGAAAGAAGATAAACTTAAAAAGGGGAATGATGTTGCTATAGTCAATGAGGCTAAAGGGGAGAATGGAATGAATCTGAAAGAAAATGGTGGGAATGGGATTCGGGCATCTGCTGTTTACAGGGCAGCTTCATACTTATATTCCCATACATCAGGCTTTCTAGCGTTCAAATCTTCTCGGCCAGATAGGGATGAGCTTGAGAGGAGGTCCATTGGGAATACAGATGTGGTGAATGTGGAAGAAGTAGCTTCGTTTGTGGCCACTACTGAGTCGGAGCGTTTTCCGGATAAATCCGGCGAAATTGACGGCGGGCACCAACTCCAATGCGGTCGTGGCATCCGGGCGACCTCCAAGGACCCCTCAATTGCAAGATTTGATGAAAATTTGCAAAACCTCCAATTTTGGACCCAATTTCGAATTTTAGGGTTTTTTCGAGTAAAAAAATTCAGATTCAAGAAGTTACAGGCCAAATTAGACAAAATGGTTTGGATATTATTGATCCTCGTCTCAAGACGAAGAGAATGACATTAGTCCCGCCAGAATCAGAAAAAGTTCATTTTCCGGCGACTTTGACCGGCGGGCGGCGGCGGCGGGGCGTGGAAGAAAAGAAAAGAAGAAATGGGGTCAAATTGAAAATTTTAAAATATATAAAATTTGAATTTAGCCCTAATGACCGGAAGTTAACCTAGAAACGAGTTAATGGCTCATTAGTGAAAGGATTGTGTAAGTTCAAGGATTTTTGTGAAAAAATTTGAAGTTCAAGTACCACTTCAAAATTCCAACTAAAGTTCAGATACCATTTGTGAAATTTACCCTTTATTGTTGACATAATTAAACTTTATTCAATTTATTACGTTTATAAAATAGTATATTAAAGCATCTTTAATTTATAAAATTTCAATATAATTTTTGAACGTATATTTTTAATTTTCATTTGTATACTACTATGTAATTTCTAAATTTGCTGAATTAAAAATAAGTTCTAACCTTACATGGAACTATTAGACGAGTTGGAATTGTTTCCAATTACGTAGTTCTTTTTATTTCTTTCATAATGTTTCCAATTAACGAAAAGTTCGTTTTTAGCAATTGTTATTTTTCTTTTCTACAGAATATTTAATTTAATTATTTGATAATACTGTCCTAACAGTTCTAGACTTCCAATAATCTTCCAACATTCAAATTCTATTCCAATTGTAATTTGTTTTTAATTTTTTTTGACATAAAATCCTCTTTAATTACTCCAAATTTGGGTAGACGATGAAGTTCCAATTCTGGAAATTACACCCATATGTATACAAACAAGAGACTTGAACTTTTTTATTTTATTTTTACAAGTTACATTAATTATGATCATAAAAAGATCTAACATTAATTATGATCATTAATGTAACTTGTAAAAATAAAATAAAAAAGTCCAACTCTCTTGTTTGTATACATATAGATATAATTTTCAAAACGGTAACTTCCCCGTCTGTCCAAATTTGGAGTAATTAAAAAAAACTTTATGTCAAAAAAATATTAAAAACAAATTACAATTGAAATAGAATTAGAATGTTGAAAGATTATTGAAAGTGTAAAATTGCTAGGACAGTACTACCAAAAAAATAAATTAAATATTCTGTCGAAAAGAAAATAATAATTACTAAAAACCAACTTTTCGTAATATTGTAATACATTACATTTGATTGGAAACATTATGAAAGAAATAAAAAAAATTACGTCATTAGAAACAATTCCAACCTCTGTCGAATACTCCCATATAAAAACTTATTTCTAATTCAACATATTTAGAAATTACGTAGTAGTATACAAATAAAAATTAAAAATATATGTTCAAAAATTATATTAAAAATTTATAAATTAAAAACAACTTTAGTATACTATTTTATAAACGAAATAAATAGAATAAAGTTTAATCATGTCAACAATAAACATCACTATGTAAAGTAGGGATGGCAACGGGTCAGGTTCGGTCAGGTTTGAGTATCTTGAAACCCGACCCAACTTCGGCCGGGTTCGGGTGTGATTTTGGCGGGTCGGTTTCAGATAGTTATTTTTTCGGTTTCGGATTCGGTTTAAGATTCGGTCGGGTCGATTACGGTCAACTTCGGGTTTGAATACTAATAAAAGTTTTTATGAAAATTTTAAGATTGAAATTCATTATAAATTTAAAATTTTAAAGACAACTATAAATTTAAGATATTAACAAAAATAATTATGACCCTTAAAAAAATAAATAATAAGTTTCAAATAATAATATACGAATTACAAAGAAAATAACATATGTATAACACAAAAGATTAAACTACAATAAAAATGAAATGCAAAAAGTGCAATAAGTTTTAAAACATTAAAAATATGTAAATCAAAAATACATGGAATATAGGAATTTAGGGTTTTAATAACATATTAAAAGTCGGGTACATGTCGGGTCGGGTCAGGTACAGGTCGGGTCGGTCAAATATACTAACCCAAACCCGACCCGACAAAAGTCGGGTTCGGTTTAAATTTTTTCGGGTCGGTTTCGGATATTTATTTTTTCGGTTCGGATTCGGATATTACAAGCTCCGGTCGGGTCGGTAAAAGTCAGATTCGGATAGAATTGCCATCCCTAATGTAAAGTACTCCCTCCGTCCCACTCTTTTTGTCCACTTCCATTTTTGCACACCATCCATTACACTTTTTAATCCATTTTATTTTGTAATTTGTATATTAAAAAATTATAAAAATTATATATTAATAATCTATATGTTAAGACAAATCAAATAAGATCACACATGACTATTTTTAGACTTACACATTTAGAGAATTTGATGATTCAAAGTGCTTTAATGAACAATTCCAAAAGTTAAAACTGGACAAAAAGATAGGACAGAGGTAGTAATAATATTTACTTTAATTTAAAAATATGGGAGGGGTGGGCTTTGACTGAGTCAAAGAGTCAAAGATGCTTAAATAATAATAATAATTTCAATATCAACAATAATAAAGGAAAAAAGGGGAGGGATGGGCTAGATCGAAAGAAAAAAAGGAAAAAGAAAAGAAGAAAAAATGGGGGTGGGGGGGGCCTAGAAGAAGGGAAAAAGAGAAAAAATGGTGCGGGGGGCTGGAGAGGAAGAGATGAAAAAAATGGAGAGGGAGGGCTGGGGTCTCGATGAAGAAAAGAGTGGAGAACCAAGAGAGAAAAAATAATCAAAATCATAAAATTTAAATTTATAAAATTATAATTTGACCCCAAATGACCTGAAAATAACTTAAAAACTACCCATCGGACCACCGATGAAAGAATGTTGAAAATTGTATTTTTATAATTGGAATTAAAATTTATATACCGAAATAAAATAATGATAAAAGTTCGTATACCACGCGTAAAATTTACCCATAGGTAGTGACAATTCGTAGGTGTCAACATACTAAATCTGATAATTAATGCATCTCATTGACAAACCTAAACAAAAATACTTGGGGGTTTGTTTGGGGCATGAAATTGACTAAATTGGAATTCAAATAGAATTCAAATTCCAATTCTAATTCATTTTTTAGATTCCGTTTTCAACAAAAGATAACATTCTTGACAATCTATGGTTTTCAAACGGGTCCTTAACAAAATGTATATATAAAATAAAGAAAGAGAAAGTTCATCAGAGAGATTCCCAACGACAAATCATCAATCACATAAGAGTTCTGATGTCCCTGTCTGTGTGTCATCACTTGCACCAAACAGACCAATAAAATAAAGATAAAAACTTGGTAAAATTGCCAATAATTCATTAAATACAGAGTTTAATCCAATAATAAAATAAACAAAAAGATTTAACTTGAATAAATGGTAAAATTCAACGTAGATACAATGCCATCACGGTGAAAAAACATGCAGAACACGGTTAAACGAGAAAATGGAAGAAGACGATTATAAGATGAGAGACGAACCGAACCAGACGATCGGCGGATCTGACCGGAGAGGAGAAGGAACGGCGCTTAATATAAAGAGTATATATAAGGGGAGCAATGAGGCTAGGGTTTGATATACGGGTTGTGTGCTATAAGCCTATAACTGGGCCTTCTCAAATATTTTCAATGGGCTTGTGGTTGACTCTCTTCTTTTAGAACGCTCAATATATTTAATTATTTCATGTCTGAATCTTAAAACAAGTATAGACTAACTACTCCCTATGTCCCCAATTAATTTTTCTGGATTGATTTATCACGCTTATTAAAGAGGAGTAAAAAATATCAAATTTCTAAAAATGCGCATACTATAAACTTTTAAATCTTTTTTTATTAAAAAAAATAAAAAAATAGATTGGTGATACAATAGAAGAATATTACTGAAATTTATTCTTAAAAAATATACTAAAAAAAGAAATGTAAAAAATATTTTCGGACGAGTCAAAAAGAAAATGGAAACAACATTTCCGGGCGGAGAAGTATAAAAATTCTTGATAGGGTGATATAGCAACTTTAATTGTCATTGAAGATGACAAAATTGAATAATACGGAGTGTTGCTAATATTGCTATCTTTTAGGGAGTATCTTTTATCAAATACCAACATGATTGGAGGCTTGGAGCTCTATTAGTTTATTCGCGTATAATACGCGTATTATACACCCGTACGTATGATACACGTATTATACTCCCGAATACGAATTTTTAATGGGACGAACGTATAATACACGTATTTTTAACCTCAAACGTATTTACGAATTTTATACGTATTATATTGCAAAATCATTAGGGTCAAATTCAGATGAGATCAAATAACTTGATTGTATTTCTGCAAAAATATAAATCTTTAAAATTTGGTGACTCAAAGTATTAAAAGTCAGATCGTAGTTCAAGTCATCCACCAATATCTTTTGTTAATAAAAGGTTACAAACACTCTACCAGTCTCTTCGACTTCGTCCGGCTGAAAGTCCAACATTGCATCTGCACTAGCGAATAGTAGACAACAACATTTTCTCTATTTGTTTAGATTTTGAAAATGTGATCAATTTTTTGTATTAGTTCTTAATATTAATTATTTGTCCACGTTTAAAAAATACAAATTTGATTTTATTGTATGATCTAAATTCAAAAAATCTAAGTTCGTAACTATATTTTGTATTCTAAAAATAAAAAATATAAACTAAATTTAATTTTACTCAACTTTAAATTGTGTAAAGTATTAAATTCATGATAAATATTTAATCAATTTTGTAAAACATAAATTATCTAATAATATAATTTTTGTCATGTTTTAAATGCTTTATTCATATCTAAATGTTGGCTTCATTTTTAAGAATGTGTTCTTACTTTGAATGCATTATTTGGAAGTACAGAATAATAATTAGATTATAAGATCTCCTTTCGGTACACATGGAAAAATAAACAATAAATCGTAGTGTTGGTTACGTTAAATTGTTAGAACTTTATGATGTATTTGTATTGAATTTCGAAGTTTAAAATGCATGTGTTTCTTAGTAAAAATATATGCATTCATTATAAGCCGTATTTTTGAAAAATCAAACGTATAATACGCGAACGTATCCGTATACGTACTCCGAACGTATAAAACGTATAATAAGACGTATTTTAAAAAAGTCGTCCGTATTAAACACGAATGTACCAATAGACGTATTATACCCGTATCCGAATAAGCTAACAGAGGCTTGGAGACGCTCTTAGGGCTCTTTGGTTCGAAGGAGGGGAAGGAGAAGCAATGGATGAAGAAAATGTGAAAGAATGCTAGGATTCTCTTCATATTGTTTTGGTTAGGACGGAAAGTAAAGGTCTTGTTTTGGGTATGAGTAAAATGTGAGCAAATTTATATCTCACATATGTTTTCTCTTAAGTTTTTTTTGAGTTAAAAAAACTCCTTTAAAACGTTGTTCTAAAAAATACGCGCTATGTTAAAACTCCACACATGCCTTTTGATTTTGTAAATTCTTTGACACAATTTTACATTTGGTAGTCTGGAGTATTGGTGTAAAATTGAGTAGTTTTTTTGGAGTAATGATGTAAATTACTTAATTTCAAAGTATTACTGTAAAATTCCAAATTCCTATGAGTATTCATGTGAATTTTCTCAAAATTAAATTGAGATGGAGAATGTATTTGTATTTGTGTGGTAAGAGCGACTCCAATGCATAGTGTATATTACAAAATATACGGAGTACTCTTTATGCAACATTTTGTTCATTCTATTGTCCTGGAGCGGAATGTGTAAATCAAAGGATAAAATCCCACCACTTATTTCTACACTTTACTGTAGATAGTGAATACTATCTCCGTACCTGATTATTTGTTCAGTTTTGATTTTTTTCAACCTACTATTTTTAATCTTTGACTCATAATTTAATAAAATATATATTGTATATAATTAGATAAAGTAATATTTTAAAATATTTTATATAATAAATCTAATAAAACTATTTTTGTATCAATATTTAATATGATTTTTATATAATTTGAGATCAAAACTTAAGAATTTTAATAAAAAAAAGTCAAAAATATATCCTTAGGGACGAAGGAGTATAATTCAAAATTATCTTCTCACATCTTCTATCCATTCTTTGCCTTTTTGTGTCTCCTCAACCCCTCTCACTTAAATTACTGCAATTTAATTGTCCATTTTTACCAATTTTTAGTTGTAAATCTAGTACACTATGATTTATTTCTTTTGATTTAGATTATACACATAATAAATGGTTATAATTAAACTATGAATTAATAACAATCATTAAGAATAAAGAACTTAAAATAATAAAATATTAAAAAATGTATTATAAAAAAAATATGATTAAATGAAGTATAAAAAAGTGAATGTGTAAGACATAGTATAAAATAATTTTACACTACTATAACATACTTTTTCTGTTCCCAATTTGATTATCTCTCAATAACTTTTATTTGTTTATATAATTTCATTAAGTATTTGATAAAATAAAATATTTTTATCACCTCTTATTTTATATAATTTTTTAATATATAATTTTTAATTCTTATCGATATATCGATTTATAAATAAAATGATTTCAAAAACTAAAATACTCCGTATTTTTCTTAGTAAATCTCAATTTGTATTCAAATGGGGGAGGGAGGGAGTGAGGGACTGAGGAAGTATGCTTCGACTGTAGATGCTGTAACCGTAAAGAGGGTATTTCTCCAAATTCTATGTAAAATGCTAGGGGTATACCCCATTTGTTCCCTACCCCCTCCATTACCACTTAAATAGGCAAGAAATTTAAAAAAAAATTAAGTAAATAAAGATAAAAAATAAATGAGTGATTTTGGAGGTGGTGGTGTACAAATGGAGTACAAACTTTTTTGGTGTAGCCCTACATCTCTCTTCCCTAAAAAGAGGGGACACTGAGGGATGAGATTCATGTGAGAATTCAACAATCGTCAGCTAAGGATCGGTGAAGAATGGAGACTCTAAGCTCGCCCTCGAAGACCCTATTGCTCATCGGAGCCATCTCCCTGCTTCTCTTGCAGGTTGGCGGTTTCTTCTCTCTTCTTCCATGGCTAAACTATCATCTTCGCTTCTGCTGATCTCTGGTTAATATTCTGCTTCTTATGATTGATTCTATTTAAGGGGTTTATCGATCTAAATATGGTTGTTTTTGCTGGTTATTCGTTTTCCTCTTGGTAACTATACACTCAATCTGTCCCAAAATTAGAGCGAACTTAGATCAGACACGATGAATCAACTGATTTAACTGAGTACTCCGTAATTATTATCGATGAAAATTACTATAATAATAATTAAAACTGGCTTTCTCTCTCTTTTTTCTAACAGAAATGGAAGGAATTTGGATTTCTCTTGTCATTTTCTTTTCTTCTCCAACCAAACAAAAAAAGTTTTTCTTCTTACTTTCTTTTCGTTTCCCTCTCAAATCCCTTGAACTAAACATATTGTTAAAGAAAATTTGAGGCGAATTAAAGTTCTTAGGTCGCAGTTCCGTGTTGGCTTTCACAGTTTTGGCAAGTGGGAAAATGAAAATATTGAATGGAAAGTTTGAGAGGTTTGGCCCTGCAAATTAAATGTCTCAATTGGATTATATTCTTTCTTTAGCTACTTATATGTTCCAGTCACTTCACTACTTCATACTTCTTCATGTTATTTATCCCATGGTAGGATTCCTCTCTGTGTTTAATTTGTGATTTGATCTGAAATTCAAGTTCTATCACATTAAGCAGCTTTTATAAATGAATCTAGTCCCCAATGTTATGTCTTGTTTCCCTAAGGCATGACCTTTATGATTAAGATATTTAATGTAAAACAGGTCATAGTATTATTGGAAATGTAGTATATACTCTGTTTGTTTTGGGAAGTGTTCACAATTTATAAGAATTTATGTCAAGAGTTCGAAGTAAAATTTATGGAAGTAGAAATATACCTCTTTAACCCTGTTCATGTGATATTGCATTAAAGCAGTTGTGTTTGAAACTTATTAAGTTGGTTTATACAGCACCTACAATTGCTTATATGTGCAGATTACGTGTGTTTCTCAGGTTGTGGCTGTTAAGAGTGTAACACAGACTGAAGTTGACCCCAAGATCCTTCAGGTATGCTTAAAGTCCGAACAGGAAAAAGCTTTCAAATGCTTTACAATATGTTTGGTTCAAGGAATTTGAAAGGGGAAAGAAAAGAAAATGAGATGGAAAACAATTTTTCTTGTTTGATTAGAGAGGAAAAGAAAAGAAAAGTGGAAGGAAAAGAAAATGAGAAGAAAAAATGTATGATGATGGGGTAACCAAAGTTCCTCCCATTTTGGCGAGGGAAATGATAGAAATCATTTTCTTTTCCTTTCGTTCCTTATTCCTTGAACCAATCATAGTGTTAGAGTTTGGACCGTAAGCATTAGATGACTGAGAGATTTATATGGAAATTATTTTGCAGGACAAAATTGTTAAAACAGTTAATGGAAACCCAAAAGCAGGATGGAGAGCTGATATGAATCCGTGGCTCTCAAACTTCACCGTTAGTTTCTATACCTTTGAGTAATGTTCTCTTATTTTTTCAACTAAATTTAAAATGCATGTTTATATGTTCATCGGGTTTACAGGTTAGCCAATTTAAGCATCTCCTTGGTGTAAAGAAGGCACCAAAGGCTTTATTGAAGGGCATTCCTTTGATTAGTCACCCAAAAAGTTTAGAATTACCTAAAAGTTTTGATGCTCGGACAGCTTGGCCTCAGTGTATCACTATTGGACAAATTCTTGGTATGTTTCTTTCTTGTACCTAATGATTTGTTTTTCTGTCAGAAGGGCACTAATTCTTATTTTCCTTACTATGTCATGCACATGAAACCTTCAACGTTAAAGATCAGGTAAAAGTTTTTTTCTCAATTATTATCTTCATTCTTTCTTGGCTATTAAGAATCCATTTATAGTAACAAATGGACATTTTTTATATTGTTTACTTTTCAGGGACACTGTGGTTCTTGTTGGGCATTTGGGGCAGTTGAGTCTTTAAGTGACCGTTTCTGCATTAAATTTGGGACGGTAAATTTATTTCAGTCACAGGAAGCTGTATTGGTTTGCGTTTATGATCCATTCAGAAACCAGGAAATACTAGAGAAAGAAAATTGGAAAGAAAAGTGAGAGGCAATAAACGACATGATATGAACTCAAAAATATTATTATAGATTTTTAGTGTTATTCATTTTATTTATTATGTCTATAAAAAACCTAAGGACGTTCTCTTCTCCGGCAAAAAAGAAATCTGATTTAATGTTTTAAGATCTTGTTTGGTCTCATCTGGTCCAAATGTTTTTTGTTTGGTTCGGCCTGGTATGATTTGGGTCCTCATGTGATCTCATTGTTTCTAGTCTGGTTCAATTAAAATTAGAATAAGTAATAAACAAAAGGAATAAGGTGGACATAATAACACCTAAGGAATCTAAATTTGCCAAAGCCAAATCAAACACACCAATACTCAACATCACAAGAAGTAGGGTATGGGGACATAGACACATACCTTGCATCTAGCCCAAGGATTAGAGAGTTTGTCACAAGAGTACCCCCGACAGCAAAGGAGAGCAATATAAAAAAAATTACAAAACTACTTATCTTTCATTCCCTTTCCATTTTCAATGTTTAAACCAAACATAAGAAAACTACTACTCTCAACATTTTTCTCTTCCCTAGTACTTCCCGGGATCCAAATAAAATCTATGGATACTGACCTTGAAAATCATAATGCATATGGCACAGAATGTGACTCTATCTGTCAATGACCTCTTAGCTTGTTGTGGCTTTTTGTGTGGTGATGGATGTGATGGTGGTTATACCATATCAGCATGGCAATATTTGGTGAGAAGTGGTGTCGTTACTTCCGAGGTAAATGTTTTGGGCTTTTCTGCCGTTTAGAAACTGTTATTCTTTCCACTATCTATATCACCGGGTAATTTTTAAACTAAAATTTACTTTTGACAGTGTGACCCTTACTTTGATCAAACTGGGTGTTCTCACCCTGGTTGTGAACCAGCATATCCCACTCCCAAATGCCAGAAGAAATGTGTTAAGGAGAATCTACTTTGGTCGGAGTCCAAGCATTTCAGTGTTAATGCATACCAAGTCAGTTCTGATCCATACAGTATTATGGCTGAAATTTATACTAATGGCCCTGCTGAGGTCTCCTTTACTGTCTACGAGGTAATTGAAAAAAAAAGGAATTTTAAATTTTATTCTTATATTATTAGTAGCTGATATTCCCGGCACTGTAAAGTACTCCTTTCCCAAAATAGACGTCACATTTACTATTGTATTTTTTTGGTCAAATTGCATCTCATTTCCCAATTTCTTGAAGAAAGTACTAGTGTTAAACATACCTATTGTTTTACATAATTTTTTTTGTAGCTTTTTAGTGTGTGTGTGTGTGTGTATAATTTACTACTATCAATAAAATATTACTCGTACAAAACTTAAGTTCAAAAAATTGTAACAACTCCTATTTTAGGTTTAGGAAGGAGCGACATACATGTCAACTTGTAAATTTATTGATATTTACCTTTACACTATGTTTGGTTCAAGGAATTTGAGAGGGAAAGGAAAACAAAATGAGAAGGAAAACATTTTTCTTGTTTGGTTAGAGAGGAAAATGAGGGAAATGAGGGAGAACTATTTTCTTTTCTTTTCTTCCAAATTCCTTGAACCAAACGTAGTGCAAATAAAAACATTCCAAGCACTAGAAGAGATGTAAAACTAGTCAAATTCAATCAGTCCTCTTCTTTCTTAGTTTGCATTTATTTGTTTTCTTTCACCTGTTCTTACCCATTCTTTTTTTATCGCATTCCTCATTCCACTGTTTAACATTGGCTACACGCAGGATTTTGCACATTACAAATCAGGAGTCTACAAACATGTCACAGGCGAGGAAATGGGAGGGCATGCTGTTAAACTCATAGGATGGGGAACTTCTGAGGAAGGAGAAGACTATTGGGTATATATAGAGATTTATTTGAAATAATCCTAATGTCGCTTTCACTTACTAATTAATTCCTTACTAATTAATTCTGGCCTCATTGAATTTTCTCTTCTGGACACTCATTACAGCTCCTTGCCAATCAGTGGAACAGAAGTTGGGGTGATGTACGTTCGTTCTCTCACCTTCTCTTGCAAATAATTTACTTCAGAATTAGGGAGAGCCTATATTATACATCCGGGTGTACCTAGAGCTAGGTACACCCCAAAAATGTTCATTTTGAATCAACGTAGTGCTCATTCTGAAACAACGTAGTGTTCATTCTCACACATTTATTCATTACAATTATAATAGTCATTTACGAACAATCATTCTTAAACAAGGTAGTGTTCATTCCAAGCCTGTTCAGCATGGTGTTCATTCTGAAACAACGTAGTGTTCCTCCTGAAACAATGTAGTGCTCATTTTGAAATAACGTAATGTTCATTTTGACATAACGTTGTTTCATTCTAAAACAAGGCAGTGTTCATTTCAAGCCTGCTCAACATAGTGTTCATACTTCATACTGAAACAACATAGTGTTCATTCGAAAACAATGTTATGTTCATTTCAGGCCTGCTCACCATAGTGTTCATTCTGAAACATTTTTTAATTACAAGTTTGCCATGATGCACGGTACATTCAGCTGCACCACATAATTTGCCAGAATTAGGCAACTTTTATTTATGGCTTGATGTAGTACATATCTTTAGTTCCTAAATGGTGATAGATAGCTGAATATATAACTGGTAGGTTCAGTCCCACTGTTTCTTGGACCATGCCCTCTGTGGCTCTTCAGATGTGACCATTACAACAATATATTTGTAACAAATAGACATTTTGCTAGAAACAGCCTATATTTTAATGGGAGAGCATATTTTGCCTAATAGTATATTACAATACATCTGGACTGGCATCAATATAAAAACAAATACTTAAAATCTTAGATATGTTCCATCTGTTTACCATGGCAGGATGGGTATTTCAAGATCCTTCGAGGAACGAATGAGTGTGGCATTGAAGAAGATGTAACTGCAGGATTGCCTTCTTCAAAGAACCTGGGCATAGAATCCATTCCTGGGGAAGCAGCTTCTCTTGTTGCTTCAGTCTGAGTAAGGGTGATCCTACCCCATACTTGCTGCTGCCTTGTAATTTAATCCTTGCCCTATTGATCTTAAAGTTCATTTGTGAAATGGTTTCAGTCTCTCAGACATGATGCCTATATTTCTGTGTATAGTTCAAAAACAAATGTTGTACTGTAACATTTCCCCTTTCAAGCTTGTTACCGGTACTATTCACAAGGTCAAGCTTAACTCACTTTGTTCGCTTATTTTTACTCCTCATTCCATAAAATAATCTTCTGTCTTGAAATAAATACCACTGTCACTATTGTAGCATCTCGATAATTTTTGTTTGTTGGTATATTTTCATTTATATTTTGATAAAATAAAATATTCTTATCGTCTCTTGTTTTATAGACCTTTTATGTGTTTTTAAATGGTGTAATTTATATTTTTTATTTTTATACTAATTTGTAGTTAAAATGATTTTAATGATGATAAGATTTGCACGTTGTTCGGAGTGTGACAACTAATATGGGATGGAAGGAGTATATATTCTTGTCATTCCTTGATTTGCAAAATTTTTCATACGTAGTTTTTTACTATACCTTGATTCTCATGACATTGAAAATCAATATCATGGGATGACTCGAGTTTTTTTCTATAATTAATTTTTCTTTTCCATTCTATGACACACAACAACCCCCACCCTACATGTGAATGTCTTGACCCTACCATGCTCGACGGCACCTGTACGCCCTCACCCATCACCATCGCTGGTGTGGCGTTCTAGACGACAACGAAGCTTATGCAATACCCAATGCAAACTCCGTCTACAATGACAGAAGATATGGCGGAGGGTTCGGGTTGCCGAAAGTGACTTAAGAGGTGAAAATCAATAGTGTGACTCGTTAATAAACATTTCATATAAAATAAATACTAAAAGTTAAGTATGATTGCATATCTCGAGTAAATACTAATATAAAGAAATACTTCCTCTGTCCATAAATAAAGTTTCCGTTGCGCGTTACGATGTTTGACTGAAGTTATTTTTAAATCATTGTATATAAAAAATGGTATGGAATTAAAAAAAATAAAAATTACTTATTTAAAAACTACATGAAAACATCTATAAAACTAGAGGTGACATGACTATATTATTTTATCATGAAAATAGGCTAACAAAGTGAATAAAGTTTAACTCTGTTAATAGTGAATGAAGACTTTATCATTGGACAAAGAGAGTATGTGAAATGGATATTGTGTTACTCGTGCAAATGTACAACTAAAATAAAAAGAAAGGTTCTATGGTGGACCAAAGGAGTAAGATCCACACGGATCTTACATAATTTTTCTTTTATTTTTAAAATAAATGCTTATCTCAATATTTAAGAAATGTTTATTTAGCATATATGAAGGTCCAAAATAAATACCGTGAACCTTATTACCTTAGGTCCATGTAAGAGTTTATCAAATAAAAAATGTGAATTGAAGAAGAACAATAGGAAGCCCATAAAACAAAGGCAACCCTAACACCCGAGGTCTTCATCGTATTTTGTCGCCACTGTCGGAAAAAAAATATCTCCACTCTATATGTTCTCATCCTTAACTCATCCATACTTTATTTAAAAAGACATGGAGTCAACACATGGTTTTTCCGCCCAACGAGTATGACAATTACAAATGACAATTGTGAAGTTAAAATGGCAAGTGGTCGAAATTATAGTAATAATTATTGTAATTATTATATTTATGATAATTAAAGAAAGGTAAGTTAAAATGGTCGAAAGGTAAGTTAATAATTGTGAAGTTAAAATGGTAAGTGGCCGAAATTGTGAAGTTATAAAATGGTAAGTGACCGAAATTATAGTAATAATAATTATTATAACTATTATATTTATAATAATTAAAGAAAGGTAAGTTAAAATGACCGAAAGGTAAGTTAATAATTGTGAAGTTAAAATGGTAAGCGGCCAAAATTGTGAAGTTATAATTATTATATTTATAATAATTAACGTATTGAAAATTTATAATAATTTACGAATTGAAAATTGGAAATAATTAAAAAAGGTAAGTAACTGTCATTTTTATTATATGCTAATAATTAACGTATTGACTTACGTTTTATATGCTAATAATTAACCAACGTTATTATGAGTATTGATCTATTATATGCTAATAATTAACGTATTGACTTATGTTTTATATAATTATATACTAATAATTAACCAATGTTATTTTGAGTACTGATTGGAAACATTCGAAATTTTTGCAAGAATAAGTAACTGTCATTTTTAACCTTTGTTTTGTGTAAGCGTGAAGTTAATATAGCTATGGTTTTTAATTATAATAATTAACGTGAGTAATATAAAATGGTAAGCGTGAAGTTAATATAATTATTATATTTATAATAATTAACGTATTAAAAAGGTAAGTTATACAATTCCATAGCGTAAGTTTTTAATAAAGGTAAGTGTCCGAAATTATAGTATGACAATTACAAATGACAATTGTGAAGTTAAAATGGTAAGTGGCCGAAATTACAAGAATAATTATTATAATTGTTATATTTATAATAATTAAAGAAAGGTAAGTTAAAATGGCCGAAAGATAAGTTGATAATTGTGAAGTTAAAATGGTAAGTGGCCGAAAATGTAAACTTATAATTATTATATTTATAATAATTAACGTAACTAAAATTTATAATAATTTACATATTGAAAATTGGAAGTTTTTGAAATTTGGAAATAATTAAAAAAGGTAAGTTATACTTTTATACTCCCAATTGTGAAAAAAATAATTATGATAAGAATAATTATACACCTAATTTCAAAAAAAATAACCCTTCTTATTATAATAGCCCATTATACAATTCCAAAGTGTAAGTTTTAAATAAAGGTAAGTTATACAATTGCAAAGCGTAAGATTTTGAAAATTGGAAATAATTAAAAAAGGTAAGTTATACAATTATACTAGGGGTGAGTTTGGTTTTTGCGGTTCGATTTTCACCCAAAACCAAAGACAAAACGGAAGGTAAATTAGCGGTTCGGTTCGGTTTTGCATAAAAAATATGTAAACTGTTGGTTATTCGGTTCGGTTTTATACGGTTTTTATTTCGGTTTTTTTCGGTTTTTTTGGTTTATAAAAGTAGAAATTTATAAGCATTAAAAAATTTTAAAAACACTAACTCGACGGAGCAATAACAATATGTTGTGTTAGGTTTGGTTTTTTGGTTTGAGTGTTACACAAAAACAAAAATCAAACGGAAGGTTATTGTATCATTCAGTTCAATTTTACATAAAAAAAATATGTGTTTAGTACCCAACAAACATTTAGGAGATTCCAAATACTTCCAAAGACATCGTATGTAAAATTAATTACGAAGAATATGTGTTTTTTAGTATAATATTTTCATTTAATTATAACATCAAAGTATTTTTTTATGTAAATATGTAAATTACTCGTATCAATATTTAATGTTAATATAATTCTATATTTGGATTAGCTATTGGTGTTTATATTCATAGATTTTTTAAAAGTTTATAATAGTATGGCTAAAATGTTTAATTAATAGTTAAGAAAATAATTTTAATCGACTAGTAATTTATTTGCATTTATATTTCTATGATTTTTCTACATATCACATATATTTATATAAAAAAAGTGAAGTATCTAAGAAAGTTCGGTTTATTCGGTTCGGTTCGGTTTTTCAAAGTGAAAACCAAAACGGAACCAAACACTAACGGTTCGGTTCGGTTTTTTTACATTCGGTTTCGGTTTCTTCGGTTCGGTTTTTTTTCTAGCTCGTTTCGATCGGTTTCGGTTCGGTTTACGGTTTTCGGTTTTCCCAACCCAACCCTAAATTATACACCCAGTTTCGTAAAAAAAATAATCGTAAGAATAATTATTCGCTTTGAAAATAATAAAGTGATTTTAAATAAAAATCAATAGGTTTAGACATTTATAGATTTAATGTTTTGGTAAAATTGATTTTAAATAAAAATCAATAGGTTTAGACATTTATAGATTTAATGTTTTGGAAAAATTTATATTTACCAAGAATACATTAAATATTTAAATATAGTAATAGTAATTTAAATTTGTTATAGCACTTTGAAAAATTAATAATTTTTTTTAACCCCGTATGCAAAAATCATATTATAAGTACACCCATTTACAAAGCTTTCATAGTCATTACATTCATCGTGAATTTTTTTCACCTACGTTTCAAAACTGTCATTTCTACGAAAAATAGGGATCTTAACTGCTTTGAAAAATATTGATGAGCGGTCATCAATGTTAATGATGAAACTACGAGCAATTAGGGTCTATCACATGACAATAATCCAACATTTTTTATTCATGGACAACTCTATGTTGCAGTTTCAAGAGTAACTAATCGTAGTGGGTTGAACATTCTGATATGCAATGAAGTAAGTATTCTCACAAATTGTACAAATAATGTAGTCTATAAAGAAGTCTTTCAAAATTTGTAAAGTAGTGATGTTTTATACCTTAAAATAACATAATCTCTATATTCTATTGCATCTCATTTTTATCATTGAAAAATGATTTGAACTTAATAACATAAAAATGACCCATGCAATGCACAAGTGTGATACTAGTAAGGTCATAAGACTCGTAGGTGTAACTCACGGCATCCCACTTAGCACCACTCAGTGCCACGTTAGTTTTTCTCTTTTTCATTACATTTTTTTTATTTTTTTCAATATATTCAAATATTTCATTTGTATAAAAAAAATAACATGTGTGTGTGTATAAAAGTAAATTTAAAAAAATAAATTAAATAAGAAAAAAAATCAAAATGTAGGATAAGTAATAAAAATAATAAAAAAATTAAAATCAAATAAAATGAAAGAGTTAAATAAAAAATACAGTACTTGATATGGTGCTACACATTTAAGCGTCAAATACCGTCAAATAGGTCATTAGCATCACTTTAATTAATCTAATAAACCCTAGCAGTAGCAGGCATTTCTTCCACACATCTTCCTCTTCTTCTTCCTCTTCCTCCGTTGCTAGCAGGCATTCCTCTTCACCCATTTCCTTTCCTCCGTCGGGGAAGAGCGAAGGGTCAGCGACCATACCCGCGGCAGCTCACGCAGATACCGGCGACAACCCACGAAGCGGCCGGTGACTAGGTAATTTCCAACTCGCCTACTGGACATGTTGAATTCCGATGCTTTTTGGTGTGATTGGCTGTGCGCCTGTGCAATAAGATTTAAGAATCCAATTGATTGGTATGCCTTTTTGGGTATGCAATAAGGTTTTGAGAAATTGAATAAGATTGATATACTTATACTCCCT